AGGACTGACTCTGTTCCTGACTTGTGCTTCTGGAATAATGGAGCAAATGAACTTTTCCTGATTCCTCCACTAAGTTGAGCTAAAATCCTTGGACATTACATATAAAACAATCCATAAGATCCCTGTCTTGCTGAACCTGGTTCTTTGGCTAGAGAGAGCAGGGGTTTTTTTTTTGTTTTTTGTTTTTTATCCTCACCTGAGGATATTTTTTTCCATTGCTTTCAGAGAGAAAGGAAGGGAGGAGGGGAAGGAGAGAGAGAGCTAGACAGACATTGATGTGAGAGAGACACAACATACTTTGTCATGTTTTTCAGTTCCTGAGGATCATAGCCAGTCTCCCTTCTCTCTACTTTCAGAAACAGATTTTCTTTTTGCTTCATGTATCTTGAGCTGGGTGCTAGAAAAGCTAGCACAGAGACCAAAAAAAGCCCCAACAAAAGCCTGCTCTCCCTCCCCGGCTGATGTGTCTCAATGGTTAGAGCATCTGCCCTGTCACTAAAAGGTCGTGGGTTCGATTCCCAATTGAGGGCACATACCTGGGTTGTGGTTCGCTTCCCACCCCTGGTCAGGGTGCAGGCGGGAGGTACCCAGTCGATGTGTGTTGCTCACATCGATGTCTCTGTCTATCTCCTTACCTTTCTCCTTTCCTTTACTCTCTGAAAAGCAATGGAAAAAATATCTCAGATGAGGATTTTTTTTAAAAAGCCTGCTCTCTCTAGCCAAAGGACCAAGTTCAGCAAGACAGAAATCTTACAGAAGCAGCTTCCAGCCACACACAAGTACAGCTGCTCTTCCACCTACCAGCAGAGGCTGAGTAGGGGCCTAGATTCCCAAGGCAGTAAGGAGGCATTTCCCCCTTTCCCCACTGGCACTGTATCAGAAGAGACCTACTTTAAATGAGACAGTTAAGATCCAGAGTCATAATATCATAAACATCCAGGATTCAATTATAAAATCATTCATACCAAGAACCTAGAAAATCTCAACTTGAATGAGAAGACAACCAATACCGACATTAAGATGACTCAGACGTTAGAATTCTATGTCAAATATTTATAAAGCAGCCATCATAAAAATGCTTCAAGCCTCAGCAAAGAAATAGAAGATAAAAAGAACCAGAGAATTTTTAGAACTGAGAGCTAAATAACCAAAGTAAAATCTCAGTGGATGGACTTAACAGCAGAAGAAAGATCGATAGAAATTACCCAATGTGGACAACAGAGAGAAAATAGCTTGGGAATACACCCACAACACCTCAGGGACCTGTAGGACTATAACAAAAGATCTCATATTCATGTCATCACAGTGTTCCAGAAGGTGAAGAGAAAGAGGGTGGGACAGAAAAGTATTGAAATAATGGCTGAAAAACTCCCAAATATGGCACAAGACAAACCTACAGAGGTAAGCAGAATGGACCCCACATTGATCAAACCCAGAGGAGCCCAAGCCAAGATATATCATAACCAAACTTCTGAAAACTAAAGGAAAGAAAGAAAACTTGAAAGCAGCAAGAGAGAAGTGACACCTTACCTATAAGGGGGAAACAATTAGAATTGGATTTCTCATCAGAAGTCAGGCCACAAGGAGGAAGCACAGCATTTTTCAGGCCCTGAAAGAAAAGTGTCAACCCAGAATCCTGTATTCTGTGAAAATTACCTCAAGAATAAAAAGGGAAATCAAGACATTCTCAGATGAAAGGTATAATTAATATAATGTGTTACCAGCAGACCTAACCTAAAAATAAAAAGGGTATAGGAAGATCTCTAAATAGAAGGGAAATGATGAAAGAAGGAATCTTGAAAAGAGTAAAAATATACAGTAGACTTCTATGTTATCACAGAATCCCACAGACACTTCTCTCATTGCATTAGTAAATATTAATTAGTAACAATGCATTGTAACTTTTTATTGACTCATTTGCCTCTTTTCCCAGCCTGAGTTTCTTAAGGATGAGAATTGTGTTCCATAGTTGAATAGCCCCAATGCCTAATGAAACACTCTTTTCAGTAATGGGGGTGGGTTGGTGTAGGGAGGGATATGGACTGCAATGGATTTAAGGATGTTGACTGAAATGGATTTAAAGATGTTGAGTGTAAAAAATTAAAATCTGAGTCCATAAAAAGTCCCTGCACCCTCCAAAGGAAGAAAAACCACACCCAAAAATCAATCCTAATTTGTCACCATTGGATGTTGTTATTACACCAAATTCTTAGTCTGAAAATTGATCATTAAATGAAAGGAATTTAAAATTTATCCTGTCTTTTTCGCATTTCAGGATAACCATATAGCCCTAGTCAATGAGGTAAAGTTCTTTACCAAAAAAAAAATCCAACTAATGTTGACAGAATAACAGAATTAGAAAATAGCCATTTTGTGACTCCTAATTAAGTACTTGATTGAGGCAGGATTATCAAGGATGCTAAAGTCATATGGTAAAAGGTGACTGTGATATGAAACTGGATATTTCGGATACTAAGAATAACTTTTTAAAAAAATACATAATCCTTGGTTGGACTCTGCCTTGAACAAATAGCTATAAAAGACATTTTGGGAACAATTAAGAGAAATTTGAATGTGGATTAGGTGTTAGATGATGTTAAGAAGTTGTTAATTTTATTAGGTATGATAAAGGCAGAGATTTTCAGTGTGCCGAGGCATGCTGGTGTGCTGCAAGAATTTTTAAAACATGCAATTCCATCCCTAGCCAGTTTGGCTCAGTGGATAGAGCGTCAGCCTGCAGACTCAAGGGTCCCAGGTTCGATTCCCTTCAAGGGCACATGCCTGGGTTTTGGGCTTGCTCCCCAGTAGGGGGCATGCATTCGGCAGTCAATCAACAATTCTCTCTCATCATTGATGTTTCTTTCCCTCTCCCTTCCTCTCTGAATTCAATAAAAGTATATTTCAAAACAAAGCCATGCAATTCCTGCTATTTAGTCAGGGCACTGACCTCTTTTCCTTTAGATTGTCAAATTAAAACATGACAACAGCCAATACAACAATAGCCGTCCAGTGTGAATGAATCAATGTTAAACCTATTTTTTGTCATATTGGCAAAAATACACTTTTTGGCGTGACACAGAATTTTCGTAGTTAATGTGTGCCATGAGATGAAAAAAAGTTGAAAATCACTGGATAAATGTATTGTGGCTTTGTAGGAAATTGCTTTTTAGAGATGCATGTTGAAATATTAGGGATGAAATGTCATAATTTGTCTAATTTACTTTAAAATACTTCTCCCAAAATAAATGAATTAATAGATGAAGGAAGGAAGAGGCAGAAGTCCTAGTATGAAGGGCGCAGATCATGACTATTGGTCAGGCACACTTAGGAAGAAACTTACAGAGGCCTCCTGAGGCCTGACCTGACCTGACCTTGCTTGGTCTGTCCTCACCTCCCTGCACTCTCCCAGTTACACTTCAGCCACACAGGCCTTCTTTCAATGAGCCCATTGCTTTCCTTCCTCCAGGCCTTTGCACTGGCCATTCCTTTCATCTGGCATGTTGTCTTTTTTATATATATATCTTAAGATTTTATTATAAATTTATCTCACAGGCCACATGGAAATAAAAGGACTACGAACAGTCTCTTGAGAAACAGGGAGCTGAGGAGGGCCAAGATGGGCGCATTCCCTGGGGAGGGGCCCCTGTAAGGGAAACCAAACAATCTGGTGAGACTCCAACAGCATAAGAAACAAACAGGTCTGTGGTAACATGGCCCTGGGGAACTGGGCCCATGCCTCTGTGAAGCTACTTCCATAACTCTGTGGCCAGGGGTCAAAGAAGTCCTCACATTCCTAGGGGAGGGGGCTGCATTCCAGGAGGGGACATGCCCACTGAAGTACCTCCTCCAGGAGGATACCCTTAGGGGGACCAGTGAGAAGCCTCATACCAAGAGGTGGGACCATCATGCCTGGAGGGGTGTCCCTCAGCCCATAGGTGGGGAAGGACCCCCATGGCCAGGTCTGTACTGGGTTAGGGCCCCTGTAATACTGGCAGTGGCAGCAGCTGCAACAGTGCCTCTTAGAGAGTTGGGATGGCCCCATGGACTGGCCTGGCATGTCCTGCAGACACCTGGGGCACAGGAACACCAGGTAGGATTCCTTTGCCAGCAGCCTTACCAATCCCTGGGCCCCCAATAGCTCCAGCAAGTGGCACTAGGGCAATGCCAATATCTTTGGGAGGAGGTCCCTCTACTGTCATTGAGACCAAGTTTTCCCTTTGAAGCCGCTCCAGACTGAGTACTCACTTCTCTTTCTGCTTGACTTATTGAATTCATCTCAATCACATTGGATCAAATTAATATGCTTGTCGAAAACCTTGTGAAGGTGCCAATATAGTACCATTCTGCAGGGTGCACCTCATCCTGTAGTCAATGTGCTGCATGCAGCATCTTGCTGCTCTTGCCCACAGCCGTGTTGGTGGCTCCGATTCCCCTAGCATGTGCCAGCCCCACTCTTTGCTGGCTACTTCTGAGGTCTCCGCCTGTCACTGCAGAGAGACCCTACCCCCACAGAACCACCTGTCGTGGGTTCTGCTTTCTCGCCTGTTTTTTGTTGCTTGGCTGCATTTCTTACCCACAGGCGGTAATGATTCTGTTTATAAGTTATGTGTGACTGTGCGTTGATACTTAGTGCCACCACTGGGTCCCCAGGGCCTGCGTTTATCGCGCACCTGCGTGCTCCCTGCGCACATCTGGCAGGAGCCTCTGCTTAGGGACAGGGATGCTGTTTCAGGCTGGGAGTGCTGGCCTGTCACTAGCCTGGTGACTTCTCCAGTCACAGACAGCTGCGACGCAGGACCTCGGACCTCACCCCGATCCCGCAGGCGCCACCTTCCCAGCCAGGTGACTGCCCCAAAGCCTTTCCTACACCCCGGACCCGCAGCTCGGGGACCCCAACCCGGAGGCCTGGGCCCCTGCCCCAGGAACTACATTTCCCAGCGGGCGCTGGAGCAGCAACCGGTTTGGGATGTGCTCTTCAGCACGGCTCCGCCCCTCGACTGCAACCCCCTAGTGGCCGCAGGTTGGCGGAGAGGGGCGCGGGGCGCAGGTAACCCGGCGGGAGACGGCTTCGGGGGTGCGTACCGCAGACTGAAGAGAGGATGGGATTTGGCGGCTTTGGGGAGGAAGGGAGCCAGGGTGTACCGAGGACAGGCAGCGGGAGTGAGTGGCGAGGATTGGGGGAGCGATCCAGAGTGCCCGCCCTCAGCGGAACTAGGAATCTGGGCCTTCACCTTTTCCAGCAGCGCGAACCCTCTCGGGTGCCGGGTCCCAGACTGCTTGAAGGTGTGGGAGGGGAAAGGGGTCTGCCCTGGCTAAAGGGCCCCTCTGCCCGACCACATCTGCGCCTTCGATCCCTCAGCGTCTCGGGGGGCGGGTAGGGAGGTAAGCGGCAAGCTCCCCTCCTCAGCCAGGTGGCCAGGGGTAGGGAGAGGAGGTGGAGCAGGTTCCCCTTGGGCCTAAGCGCCGAGCAGGGCGTGTCCTGTTCGATCCTGGACCTTTAGCCTGGAGCTCTGGGAGACCGTCCAGGCGCAGACGTACCTAGAGACATCTGCATCCCCTCCTCCTGTTCTGACTCGTCCTCACTGCCAGCTGAGCCTCTCTGAACGTTAGTTTTCCCAGCTCCCAACTCCCAGGTGCGGTCATGCTCATTCCCTCAGGGATTATGACAACAGATGAGGTCGGTTCTGAGCGGTGCGGTGAACAAGCTGAGCTTTCACTGGAGAGGTAGAGGCAGACAACAGCCAATTTCAGATTTGGGAGTGCCATGAAGAAAAGAAAACGTGTCTGGTGGCGGGTGGGGTGGAGAGGCTACTTCGGAAGGGTGACCAGGGAGGGTGGCTCAAGTGCTCCGAGACTGAAGGGACAGCAGGGCAAAGGCGTGGGGGTGAGAGAGCAGTGCGCTTGGAGCAAGCGAGTGAGGGGGGGCCTGGGAAGAAATGAGATGACAACATGGGCCCAGGAAGGATCTGGACTTTACTCTAAAAGCAGCGAGGGTTCATGGGAGGTTAATAAAGGCACTCACGCTCTCCCAGCCTGAACTTATCAGTGCCATGGGCTTTCCCAGCATTTTCAGTTGGGGGCCAAGGGCTGTGGCCAGGCCAGCAGAATTTTCTGCCAAACCCAGCTGTCCATGATCCCCTGATTGGCAGGGCCCTCCTTTGTAAAATGGGGGTGATGAATCCTACCTCACAAGGTGCACACCTGTTCTAACTTGCAGCCATCCTCCCCCCACAAAATGCCTGAGGGCCCTGAGCTGCATCTGGCCAGCCAGTTTGTGAACGAGGCATGCAGGGGGCTGGTGTTTGGCGGGTGTGTGGAGAAGTCACCCATCAGCCGCAACCCCGAGGTGCCCTTTGAGAGCAGTGCCTACTACATCTCAGCCTCAGCCCGTGGCAAGGAGCTCCGATTGACACTGAGCCCCCTGCCTGGGGCCCAGCCCCCACAGGAGCCACTGGCCCTCATCTTCCACTTCGGCATGTCTGGATCCTTCCAGCTGGCACCCAGCAATGCACTACCACCCCATGCCCATCTGCGCTTTTACACGGCTCCTCCTGGTCCCCAACTCACCCTCTGCTTCGTGGACATCCGCCGCTTTGGCCACTGGGAGCTCACGGGCGAGTGGCAACCAGGCCGCGGGCCATGCGTCTTGCTGGAGTATGAACAGTTCAGGTAGGTGAGGGGCAAGTCCCAGACCCTTCTGAGCCTCCCTTCCTTCCTCTGTAGACCAAGACAGTGTATTTCCCTGGAGACAGCTCCCTGAGCTAATGGATGTGAAAACCCAAAACTGATATGGGAGGAGGTAGGGGTGAGGTGAATAGGTAGGCATGCCCTGAAGACATAGACAGTTACTGTGAGAGCTGAGGCTGGATCAGTGCCCCACACTGCTTCTTGGTGCCCTCAGGAGGCCCTTAGAAAGGTAGAGGGTTTTAACAACATAAAAGAAGGGAGGCTGAGCCGGAAGGAAGGTTTTCAAGGTAGTGGGGAGGGAACTGCCTAACGACATGGTTTCTGAATCAGGTTTTGTGGTCTCCCACATTGTCTGCCCACTGGTCTGTGTCCCATCGTCTCCTCACTGACTGTCTTCTACCTGGGATGTGATGCAGGTCACTTACGATGGCAGTGTCAGCCACTTTTCTTCCTCTAAAGAGGCAAATGTGTATGAGTCTCTGTTTTGTGCCAGGCCCCGCTATAGGTGTTGGGGTACAGCAGAGATCAAGGGCTGAAGTTCAGGCAGGGCAGGGAGGACAAGAAAACAAACTAGATTAATTCATATAGACACATTTCTAAAAAATCCAAATCCAAGAGGGAGAGAATGACTTTTGGTCAGGAAGGGAGGGAGGGGAGACACATTAGGAAAGATCACATTCTAGGAAGTGACATTTGAGCTGAGACCTGCTTGAGAGCCAGCCATGCAAAGCTCTAGAGCAGTGGTTCCCAACGTGGGGCACACAACCCATAGGGGGGCAACTTGATTTTTAAGGGGGGCAACTCGAGAATGAATTAACAGTGAATCTTTAGTACTTCTTATGGTTCTAGGGGCCTCATATACAGTATATAAATATATATTGACATATTTGTGCATTTTAGTTCTCTATGTTTTGAAACTTTATTTGCAATTTTTTCCATATCACTTCATATTATTATTTTTAAAACAATTTCTTAGTGATTTCTTCCTCAGTACTTCAACTGTCCTTTCATTCTTTTATTTTTCTCTTTCATGGATGCCATGTTCTTTGGAAGCTTGTTTAGACCAAGTTAGTGGCCTTTTAGGCTTCCTCCATGTGAATAATAAGAATTATGTCACAGGGGACGGGGGAGAGGCACCAGGATTTTAGAGATGCTCAGGTGGGGCATGGCTAAAAAAAAGGTTGGGAACCACTGCTCTAGAGGAAGAGCATTCAAACTGACCAGCACCACAGATGCAAAGGCCTGGAGCACATTTGGTAGATCCTCCCTTCCTTGGGGACTGCCCACCTTCACTTGACCCTTAGGAGACTTAGCTGCCCACTGTGGGTCAGGGCATGTCTGGTGCCACAGGAGGCAGTTGACTCCTGGCCTTCCTAGGCAGGACCCCAAGTGCACCCACAGGGAAACATCTGTGGCCTTGGATTCCTCCACTCACCTCTCCTGGGAAGAAAACACTAAGAAATTGTTTTAAAAATAATAATATGAAGTGATATGGAAAAAATTGCAAATAAAGTTTCAAAACATAGAGAACTGAAATGCACAAATATGTCAATATATATTTATATACTGTATATGAGGCCCCTAGAACCATAATTAGTACCAAAGATTCACTGTTAATTCATTCTCGAGTTGCCCCCCTTAAAAATCAAGTTGCCCCCCTATGGGTTGTGTGCCCCACGTTGGGAACCACTGCTCTAGAGCTTTGCATGGCTGGCTCTCAGGTTAACTCTTTGCCAGCTGGCTCTGAGGTTTCTCTCACAGAATGAGCATCTCAGTTATTTTCTTGGTCCTATAAGCTGGGGAGCCTTCAGAGAGCTAGTCACCAGGCTAACCTTCTGCTCTTTCCTTTACCCCAGAACTGTCTTCTATCCCTGTTTCAGATGCTTCTCAGGCCCATCACTGAGTCAGTCTTGCCATGACCCCTTTCCACAAAGAAACAAGATACATTTCTTCTTCACAGTGTTAAGGAGAGATCCATGACCCTTAGAGGTGGGGCAAGGCTTGCTGGAGCCCTTACTCCCACGCACTTGCTGGGTGAGCTAGTACTAGCCACATAAAATCTTCAGGTCTTGAGAAGAATTGACCCTTCAATGTTAACTCTTCATATCTAAACATCCAGAAGTCCTAGATAGGGAGCTGTAGATTGTAGGCACACCTGAAGTCCCGTGATCACCTTGCTTTCAAAAATGCCTGGAGTCTGGTATACTCTGGTGGCATTCACACAACAGATAAGACTCATGTGTGTTCCCTTGAACTCGTTGCTTTTGATTGGAATTTTTCACCTTTGTAATGAATTAAAATTCCATATTGTTCTCATTTAACAGATAGGGAAACTGAGGTTGTCCCTGCCAAAATAGCACTGAGGCTTGGAAAAGGGAAACTGAGACTCCCAATTTCCTTCCCCTTATACCGAGGAGCAGGTTCTCCCAGTTCCTATCCCTCATCCATGGCAAGGAGTGGGGATGGGAGGGCAGAATGGGTCTCATGTGCCCAGACTGTGTCCCTCCAGGGAGAATGTGTTACGAAACCTAGCAGACAAGGTCTTTGACCGGCCCATCTGTGAGGCCCTCTTGGACCAGAGGTTCTTCAATGGCATTGGCAACTATCTGCGGGCAGAGATTCTATACAGGTTAGCATGCAGGCCATGGACACAAGGGCTGGGTTAGCTGGGTGCCCACATTCCCACTGCTTAGCATGTTTCTCTCTTTCTACCCCACTGTAGGCTGAGGATACCCCCCTTTGAGAAGGCCCGCACTGTTCTGGAGGCACTGAAGCAGCACAGGCTGGTGAGGGTGCAGGGGAGGAAGGCTGGGTCTGGTGTCTCGTGTAACCCAAGCAGCTGTTAGTTTTTCCTTCTCTACAATGTGTGTGTGTGTGTGTGTGTGTGTGTGTGTGTGTGTGTGTGTAACCCAAGCAGCTGTTAGTTTTTCCTTCTCTACAATGTGTGTGTGTGTGTGTGTGTGTGTGTGTGTGTGTGTGTGTGTGTGTATTGGGGAGGAGGGGAATGAACCATCTCTGAGTCCTGCCAAGCTCAGAGGAGGTCTGCTCCCGACGGATCAGCTGCCTTCTGAGTGGCTCTGCCCCTTTTCCAGAGCCCCAAGTTGACCCTGAGCCAGAAGATCAAGGCCAAGCTGCAGAACCCAGATCTGCTGGAGCTGTGCCACTCAGTGCCCAAGGAAGTGGTCCAGCTGGGTGAGGCCCGGGAGCCAAAGATGGCCAACTACCTGTGTTGGCATATTGTATAACCCTGGGACAGTTGCTGCCCTTCTCAGGGCCTGGGGAATGGAAGTTTGTAGACCTAGTTGTTGCTAAATGGACTAGGCCTCCTCACTTGTCAGGTGTCTGTCCTCCAAGCTACTCATGAGGCAGGCAGGGCAAGGATTATTAACCCCACTCCAGGATGAGCAAGCCATGGCCCAGAGTGGAGAAGAGGTCACACAGCTGGAGAAGGGAGAGCCTTGGCCCCTGACTTAGTCCATCAGGCTCCCCCTCCTCCCAGCCTCAGTCTGCCCTCTAGCCCTCTAACCTCTGTCTGGCTCCTCTGTCCACAGGCGGCAAGGGCTATGGGCAAGCGAGAGGGGAGGAGGATTTTGCACCCTTTCGAGCCTGGCTGCGGTGCTATGGCATGGTGGGCATGCGCTCCCTGCGGGACCGGCACGGCCGTACCATCTGGTTCCAGGTTTGGGTCCTAATGCTCACACAGGCAAACAGAGATCCCAAAGAGGCGGGTGTGGCAGAGACCTGGGGTCACAGCCAGGCAGGCGATGGGGTCTCTATCTAGACCTCCAAGTTCACACTGTCCCTGAGGGTCTAGGCCTTCCCTATGTTATGCCCCTCCCCTCCTCTGAATCCCAGTGTCCCAGCTAGTAGAGCAGCACAAGGCAGGGTGGCCTTGATGTTGGCTCTGACCTGGCAGGGAGTGGGCAGTGAGAGGCTTCCTAGGGGAGGATTACAGTAACCTGGAAAGATAGGTGTGAGTCCTGCTTCTCCAAGGGAAAATGACGCCTGTCCCAACCAGGCTGATTCCTGAATATTCCCTGTTCCATTTTAGGGGGATCCTGGACCTCTGGCACCCAAAGGTAAGGTACTCCCAATACAGTAAGCTAAGAAAGCAAAAAGGATATGTTGCCCGCAAGGGTTGCAGCAGTCTCTGGTGCCCACTCCGAGTCACCCCAAAGTGGGAGTCTGGAGAAAGGGCCCAAGGCCATAGGACCTTGCAACCCCAGCATCAGTGTCCTTCAGGGGGCAAGTCCCATAAGAAGAAATCCAGCGGAGCACAGCGGGGTCCTGAGGATGGAGTGGAGGTATGGCTCCCTGCTCCTAACTCCTCCCTGAAATGTCCCCTGCCCTGGCCAGACCTCCCAAACTAGACTTTTGGACAACTGCCTTCTGTTAACAATGGGGGGCGATGGTGGGTCCTAACCAACCTCTGAACTGCTGAGTATCTCAGGAACCTGTCTCTCCTCTATCCAGGATCATCCACCCCCAAGCAAGGCCCCTTCCAGGACACGAAGGGCATGGAGAGGCCTTCCTGAGCAAACAACAGCCCAGCAGCCTGAGGGGACCAGCCTCCAAGACCCAAAAGTCCCCCCAGTCACTGAGAAAGGGAAGAGGAGAGGGCGAAGGGCCAACTCAGGTGGGCCTTCCTGAGCATTTTCCTCTGGAGATGGAAGGGGCATCACCAAACGGGGCTTTCCAGAAGGAAAGGATGGCAGTACGGGCAGAGGTTACTTGTGGAAAGGAAGGCTGTCCGGGCAATCTTCAACCTGGGGTCTGAGTTGCCACCTCACCTGTCCTCCCCACAGGCTGCTGCAGACCTTAAAAGATAAAGACTGCCATCCCATCTTTGGAGCCTGAGGAGACCTCAGCCTCTTAGCAGGAGGATCTCCTTGCTTGCACCTATCCCTTCCCGCTGCCTTGCCCTGGATCTGGGGCCTTGTGTGGCTTTCTAGAAGCATGCAACAGGTTAAAGGGGCTAGATGCCTGTGACCTTGTGGCTGTTCCCCACATAACTATGTTTTTAATTGTACCCACCATCCCCATTTTTTAAGCCCATGTGAAAAATGCTGTATTTTTAAAAATATAAATTGGTAAACTTCTTGGGCTGGCCAAGTTAGTTAGGCCTGTTGCCTGGCCCTGAGTATAAGAGGCCAACTCCTCAGCAAGGCAAACTGGGCTCCGTCACAGTCCTCAAGGCCCTGGCTCTCATAGGATAGTCTGCCTCTTCAGAGACAGCCCCTCAGAGGTGGTGCAGAGACCCCTCTCAGGAAGCCCAGGCTCCATAGCTCCTCCAGTCCAGGATTCCTCAGGGCCTGGGGTTGCTCCCCAGCCTGGCCAGACTAGTGAGTACTCCCCTCCTAGTGGGGGCCAGCTGGAAGCCACCCAGACCTGGGCCCTCTGCCTGCTGACACACGGGAGGGACTTCTTATCTCATGCTCTTATCTTGTGGTCATCCATATCCCCACTTGTGGGGGCTGCAACCCAGACCCTGCTGCACACACAGATCACCTTAGATTTTGCCCCTGCCCCCAAATGCCCAGGAAAGACTTCTCTTCTCACAGCCTTGAGGACTTGCCTTAAGGGGAGAGAGCAGGAGTTACCAGCAGGGCTCCTGAGCCAAAGATTTATTGTTGCTTAGGGCTGGAAAGGCAGTCAGTCCCCAGAGCCTTCCACAAAAAATCCCGCCCTCAAGAGACTCAGTTCAGTGGAGGTTGCAGCTTGAGCCATAGAGACTGTACTTGGAAGGAAGAAAAGGTGAGTTTCAGGCCAGTGTCCCTAAGGGGCAGGTGGCCAGCTCCAAGAGGTCGCAGCTTCAGAACATGAGGGGCCATGAAGACTCTGTGAGGGCAGGGCTCCTCTCTTCCCCGCACCCCACTCACAGGAGGGCCTCCTGAACTGGCAGCGACATTTGCAGCCAGCAGTCCACGTGGCTGCCATGGGCCTCATACAGCCTGAGCACCAGAGTGTGGCCCTTGGGGGCTGGCCTCAGCCTGCTGAGGGAAGTGGGTGGTGGGCAGGGCCAAGGGTGGACCCAACCAGGACCCCGCCCCACCCTACCCCACCCCTTGCCTGCTGGACGGTCTCCAGCACCACCTGGAGGAAGACACAGTGAAGGCACTCCAGGCGGCTGTGGGCACCCCAGCCTGCCTGGCCGGCTGGCAGCGTCAACAACAGGAAATTGAGGCTGTAGGCTGCTTGGGTAACGCCAGCATCTTGGAAGGAGCCTGGGCAAGGGCCGGAAAGGAACCAGTGGTGCAAAAGGGGGTAGGGGCGGGCACAGAGCTGCTGTTTCCCCCACTGACTGTAGAAAAAACCGAGGTTTGGCGAAGAGCAGAGAAGGGGCAAGGCAGCACTCACCCTTGTGCGGCATCAGCGCATATGTGAACTCGTGGCGCCCCATGTCAGCAGTGGCATCAGGGGCCTAAGGTGCCCACAAGCTGCGGGGAAGGAGGGAATGGGCCGGGCTGGAGTTCTGGCTAGGGGAAGACCCACACCTCCATGCCGGCTCAGAGCCTGGTGGGCACACCACTCACAGCGAGAGGCTGAGGATGCTGCCCCGAACTGATGCTCTGTACTTGCAGTCATTGAGTGGGCCAGCCCAAAGCTGTGCTCCAACAGGTCCATCCAGCTGTGGGCCCACACCTGAAGAGCACATCCCAGACCCATCTTTTACTCCCATCACTAAAGTGGCAAGCTCTGGGACCCCGGGATTGAATTCCAGTTCTCACAATAAGAGGCCCTGGACACTACCCAAACTGTCTATGCCTCAGTTCCTCATCTGTGAAATGGGGAGAATAGTATTTAGCCCACCAAACAGGCATGGGTATCAAACTAAACAAAGAATTTAGCACAATGCCTGGCACACATGTTAGGAACCAACAAATATTGCTCCTCCTCAACCCATTCTACACAAAGAGTCTCCCCAGCCAGGGAGAATCCAAACCTCCTCACCCCACCCATGTCAGACCTCAAATCAAGCCCAGTCCCAAGAGGTGGTATAGTGGGTGGGACGCTGCAGATGCCCAAACTAAACCTCATAGGTGGCCTGGGGGTTCTGCACACAGGTAGGGAACTCCACCTTCAGAAATTTGTGGGTTTCATGCCAGTGCACCTGGAGTGGGGGTAAAGGGTGAGGAGAGGGAGACACACACACAGGCCTGGGGCTAGCCCTTCCCGACTAGCCACACCTAGGAAAGGCAGCCACCACCCTATCCCCTACTATTTCGATGTGGAAGTGGACATAGGGCAACCGACGTCCAGTACAACCTCCTGGCTGAGCTGACTGTGGGGGCTGATCTGCAGTAGGAACCAGGTGCTGCCCCGCACGCGCCCTCCGCACCCACTGCTAGGGTCCCTGCCTGGCTCAGCACTGGCTTCCGGGGGGATGCGCGGGAGGTGCTGAGCTAGGGCCAGCTGATGGAGAGGCCAATAGGCCTGTATGCCCACCCCCATCGTGCCCCGGGTGGTACTGCATGACGTCCCACGCATCCCAGCACAGGGGGACATCATCAAACAGCACAAACTGGTTTCCCACAGTGCCTTTGGCAACAGCCTCCCTGGAAGGAGATGGGGACTGCAGCTTTACAACGTGATCTTGGTTTCTCTAGATGTTCAAGGTGGGGTGGGAGGTAGGGTGAGTATGGTTAGGGGACAGGGATTTCCCCAGCCCAGCCTGCCCTGCTCCATGAGATGGATCCCAGCCCAGAGCCACAGGTGGGCTGTTGAGGGCAGTGCTGGCCAAGGGAACAGGGTCTGAGACCATCTTCCAGACAGGGAGAGGGCAGTGAGGGGCTGACACCTGCCGGAGACTACCAGCACCAGGGATGTCAGGCGGCCGATCGGGTCCAGCCTCACCGTTGTCCAGAGTCACAGAACCATCAGTCTTGGCAGAAGGGAGCCTTGAAACAGTTGGCAGGGGCTTCCCACAACCAATAGCCCCCCACTCCAGCCGCCTCACCACTTACTCCAGCCTGGGGAGCTCAGAACCCCTATGTTGTTAAGCCCCTTCCCAGCCCTGCCCCTCACCTCTTGCACAACAAACAGGCTACAGGGGCTGCAGTGAGGTAGGGGCAGGAGCAGGAGTATAACCCATGCTGGGCACTGTCACCAGGACTAGGGATGAGGCCTGGACATCAGTGCAGCCTCCCTGAATTTGCAGGAGCCTCACTCTGGGATGGGGGGATACTGCTACTGCTATTCTCCAGCCTGGGGCACCTCAGGGCAGAGATCCCCAGGAGAGTGTCCCCAACTCTCGGTCTGGACTCCTGCTGTAGAAGCAACCCCTCTCCCCAGCTCCTATCCAGGCTGTGGGTCCTGCCAGGCCTGGGCAGGGCCAGCACTCCAGTGGGCTTCCAAGGCAGGGTATTTACAATGAGGAGGTCCTGGGCACCTGGCTCCCCAGCTCACAGGGCTGCAGCCGCAGCACTGAGCAGTGTGTTGCCATGGAAATGAATGTCTAAGGAGAAACTGGTTGGTCATGAGTGGGCAATGGGTCTAGGATGACCCAAGTGTCCCATAGGAGAGAGCAGCGGGAATGTTCTCAGCCTAACCTCTGTAGTGGCACATGGTTTCTTCTGCCACCAGCTGAATGCAGCTTCCAGTCACCACATCATGGAACTCGTTCAGGAGCAGGAGTATGCAGGGGCCAAGGGCAGGGATGGGGAAGGCCAGGATGCTGGGAAGAATGAAGGCTGGGAGGGTCAGCCACAGAGGTTTCTTGGGTGAAGTCAGGTGGGTGACAGGGGGCAAAACCAGGCTGACCTCCAGAGGTCCTGCAGCTGGGCTGTGGGTGTAGAAATTGGGCACTACAGACTAGGGCCAGACTGCTGAGCAGCTCCACGTCATGCAGGATGCGCTCACACTTCCGATTCCCTTTCTTGATCTGAGCCCCAGGCAACGAGGAGGGTGAGTCTAAAGCAGCGGTTCTCAACCTGTGGGGTGCGACCCCTTTGGGGGTCGAACGACCCTTTCACAGGGGTCGCCTAAATATATCCTGCATATCAGATATTTACATTACAATTCATAACAGTAACAAATTTACAGTTATGAAGTAGCAATGAAAATAATTTTATGGTTGGGAGTCACCACAACATGAGGAACTGTATTAAAGGGTCGCGGCATTAGGAAGGTTGAGAACCACAGGTCTAAAGTCTGCTTAAGTATCCCAGAATACCTTCCAAAGCCCTCCCTGGTTCAGAACCCCTGATGGCTCCCCAGGGCCCCCTGGATAAAGCCTCTTGTGGGTGATATGTCCCAAATACCTCCCTCCCTCAGCGCAAGCCTCCTCTAGGCTCCTGACCCACACAGCTCTTGCTCTTCTCTCAGCTCCTCCTCAAAGAACGAGCCTCCTCTCCCAGATCTGGGGGTGGGGGTCTGTCCTGTTTCCTTTACTGACCCTCTACAGATCAAGGGCACACTCTCCCTGCTCGGCTGAGTGACTAGCTCCTGACCTGGGCGGGGTGTGTAGTGTAGGTGCCATTATGCAGCTCCAAGAAGAGCTCTCCGACCCACAGCTACCCCGGAGAAAAGACAACTGCACCCTGAGGGAGAATGTGAGCCTGGGTCTCCCAGCCTTGGGGGGCCACATGGCTCACCCTTGATCCACACCAGAGCAGACAAGAGATCCAGCCCCCAAAGAAAGAAGCACCCCCAGAATGCTCCCGGTTTACAAAGCCAGCTCTGGAAACCCCAGGAGAGTTCTCTCTCTGATGAGTTTAAGCCCCTTTCCACCCTCAGCTTTTCTCCCACCTCACCCCCAAGGTAGAAATTGGGAGGAGCCCATGCACCAGGATTGGAGCAGGACAGGCCCAGTGGAGGGATTGGGCCAAATGGTTGAGCAGAAAGAAGGGCTCAAAGCAACGGCTAAGCTAGCAGCTCAGTGAGGGCTATTAGTGGGCCAGGCTTGACCTGGGCAGCCATCTGGATTGTACGGCCGCTTCAAGCAGTCTACCATGATCTGAGGGGGCCACTACCTCCATCCCCAAAGCCAAAGAGGACGGCACTATGGTTGGTCCGTCCTTTGTCCCGGTTTTTGGCCACTGTCTTTAGTACCTGGAGAAACAGGGGCAGATCAGCATGGTTCAGTCTAGGACAGGACACCCAGCCCTCTCCAGCCTACCTCCCTGCCCCCACCTTGGTCTCTAGGTACCCTCTCACCTCCTCCACACTGCCCTCTATTCCATACGAGGTGGGAAGTGGGCCAGCACACGGGAGCCATCCAGCCCTTCCCAGAAAAAGGTATGGTGCTGCGGCCAGGCAGAGACACAAGAGAGAGGCTAGTGTCAGGGCTGAGGCAGAGTTGGGCCTTCCAGTCCTGCCCTGACCCTGGTGTGACCCTGGAGCAGGCACACTCTCTATCTGGGTGGGGGTTGGGTGATTTGTCCAGGACCCCTGAATAAGCCTAGGGAGAGATGAATGCGTCAGGTGGGACCCAGGCCCACTCTAACATGACCCACTGGGGTCTGCTCACTGGAAAGGAGTTCACCAAGTTCCAGCTCAGTTTTTGGCCCAGGAAGTATCTGATGCCACATCTGCGCATGATCTGGGGAAGCTGTGCTGAGTAGCCAAATGTGTTTGGCAGCCAGAACTGCAGGAAAAGGGCCTCTGAGGCACAGGAACCAAGGCTCTTAGCAGATCAGCCCAAGCCTCAGCCCCTCATCTCACCAGGTTAAGCCCCATCTGCCTGAAGCCATAGCAGCTCTCAGCCTACCTCCAAGCACATCTTCCCAAATTCCTGCAGGAAGAAGTTCTGGCCCTGCAGGAACTGCCTCACCAACGCCTCTCCACTGGGAAGGTTCCCATCCTGGCAGTGAGAGAAGAGGGAGTCAGCCAGGGTCAGCACCAGATGGGGAATAGGCAGGTACTCGGTCGACCCCACCCCTTAGGAGAAGCCATGGCTCTGACCCAGGAAGTGTCTATCTCCTGCAGCTATTTATCTGCTGAAGGGAGCTTCTGGGCTGGGTTATGCAGACGGCCCATCACAGTGCTTGGGACCCTTCTCCCCCTTGGAGTCCCAGGGCTCGGAAGTCCAAGGACTAATAGTGCTGCAACAGAGAGGTTGTGAAGGGCCTGCAGAAAGCCCTAGGCTGAGGGTATGCAGACCGCCCTTACCATCTCCACCCAGGTGCCTCCCAAGGGCACAAACTGCCCAAGGCAGGCAAACTCCTGGAGCCAGGCATACAGGCCAGGGTAGTGGTTCTTTACCTACTCAAGCTGCTGCGCCTGTGAGGCAGAAGGGGCAGGAGTTGTGCCTGGAGTAACAAGAACCCTACCCAGGGCCAAGTATCTGGGGAGCAGTGGGCAGCTGAGTCTGGGGAGGCCCTCAGAACCTCACTTTTAGACCTATTGGGTTTCTGGTGTCTCCACATGACTGTCCCTCCGACCTGGGAGCAGGCAAAGATGAACTCAGGGTTCCGCTCCATAAGCTGCACGGCTGTTACCCAGCTCTGGGCACATTTCCGCAGAGTCTCTTTGAAGGGCCAAAGCCAGGCTAGATGGGGAGGGGGACAGAGGGTGGAGGGAGAGCAGCAAGGTCCCTAGCTCCACATAGATCTCCAGCCTCACCTCTGTCCCCCAGCACCCTGACCAGGCCCAGCCTGGGTCTCTAGGGAAGTGATGGCGAACCTATGACATGCGTGTCAGAGGTGACACGCAAACTCTTTTTTGGTTGATTTTTCTTTGTTAAGTGGCATTTAAATATATAAAATAAATATCAAAAATATAAATCTTTGTTTTACTATGGTTGCAAATATCAAAAAATTTCTATATGTGACACGGCACCAGAGTTAAGTTAGGGTTTTTCAAAATGCTGACACGCCGAGCTCAAAAGGATCGCTCTTCTCCCCTTCTTTGGTCAAACGTGGTGGGAGTACAGTGAAAGAGACAGTAATATGCTCTAGGGCAGGGGTCCTCAAACTTTTTAAACAGGGGGCCAGTTCACTGTCCCTCAGACCGTTGGAGGGCCGGACTATAGTTTAAAAAAAAACTATGAACAAATTCCTATGCACACTGCACATATCTTATTTTGAAGTAAAAAAACGAAACAGGAACAAATACAATATTTGTATTTGCATGTGGCCCGCGGGCCGTAGTTTGAGGACCCCTGCTCTAGGGTCTTCCTAGCGCTTCTCAGGCCCCTTTCCCTGCAAAGCCCTGTGATATCCCTCTTGAGCTACCATTTCAAATCAGTCCTACTAGGTGGCAGTAGGAGTGGGATAGGAAGGCAACCAGAGCTATCAGGTTAATTTTACAGGTCAGGAAATGGAGGCCCCCGGCCCTAGAATAGCCTTGCCCTTGAGGTTTAGACACCCTTAGAGAGGATCCCTTAGAGAGGATCCCCAACACATACTGATGGATATCCCAGAATAGAGTGCACAGCTCCTCAAGATGGATCATGCCTTGTCAGCTGTCCTATATGAAGCACTACAGCCTCTCCTTCCTTACCAGTCCAGAGCCTCCACCCTCTTCCCCACACCTTGGCATAGCAGAGAAAGCCCTTGTTCTGTGGTCCAAAAACATCAGAATCAACACCTTGGGGAACCTGTTAAAAAATATGGATTTCCCATAAGCCTCACAGTCACTGAAAACTCATCAGGTTCAGAATTGAACCCCTGACCCTACCTAGAAAATCACCCCTGCGCTTAAGCCCCTATCTCTATTACTTCAACCGAGGCCCAGGAGGGGCAAGAACTTGCTGAGGTTTACACAGTGCTTCCAGGGCAATGCCAAGGCTTCAAGGTCACTCCTGCCTACCTCTCAGCCACTTGACCAGCTAACCTCCTACCTGTATCAATGTGGCAGTGCCCCATGGCATGGATGGTATGCTGGCTTTTACCTCCACATTGGCCAAAGGACCTGGAGGCCAGATACTGGGCCATCGGGAAGGTTTCGGGCTGGGCAGGATCACAAACATTCACAATCTGGTTGGCTGTGTACAGGGCCTGGAAGCTGCGCTGGTTGTCTTCCCTGAGGCCCTGCAGCAGGGTTCTCAGCAGAGCTCTTTCCTACCTCCAATTCTTTGCCCCTGCTGTTCCCCCTGCTCAGAACTGTTTCCCTCTTCCCCTTTACATAGAGAAACCTGACCAACTCTTGGGCAGGCAGAAACACTCTCCCTATTCTGCATTCCCAGAGTCCCAAGTATGACCCAAGAAACAATCTACCTGGAATTCTAGAGAGTGACCAGGTGAGATGGGGTGTTGAGTACCTTGGCCATGCCCAGCAGCAGTTCCAGATCTACCAGGAGCTTGTGGATATCCCGGTGGAACAAGTCCAGCTCAGCCCGGCTCACCTGGAACATCTTCTCTGGGTCTGCAATCATGGTGCCCTTCCTGGGTCCCAAGGCGACTTCCACATAGAGGGTCAGGCTACAAACATGGGAAGGCAGTAATAGGCCAAGGGACTGGCAGAGACCTCTGGGGGCTTGATGAGGGAGGACAGAGGCAGCATCCAGATGACCCCTCCCCATTTACCTCCAGGATCCCAGAGTATGTCAAGTTCATATACGAGAGGGTCAGAGAAGCACCAGCCTGAACCCATATGGTGATGAAAGCTCTATTATGGTTAGCAAGAACAAGCAACTCATTCTGGAACTGTGTGATGCTACTGTTTAGCCTTTTTTTTTTTTTTTTACCAAAGCTGTCTTTACATAGCACTGCCTTGGTCTCAGAACCATCTTTGCACATTAAAAACATGTTTGGCCCAGCTGGTATGGCTCAGTGGTTGAGTGTCGACCCATGAACCAGGAGGTCAAGGTAGATTATGGTCAGGGCACATGCCCAGGTTTGGGGCCTGACCACGAGTAGGGGGTGTGCGGGAGGCAGCCGATTGATGATTCTCATCATTGATGTTTCTATTTCTCTCTCCATCTCCTTTCCTCTCTCTGAAATAAATAAAAACATATTTTTTTAAAAAAAGAAAACATGTTCGGATTTCCCAGAGCAAAGACCCATCAGCCAACACAGAGCAGGCTGTTCTTTGTAGCCTCATATTGGGTTCTGGCACTGTTCTACTCAGTCTTCAGAGACCACAGATGACTTATTTGGGGAAGCCCTCCCTATTCCTCCTCCCACCCCTCTCCTAAGTCTGGAACAGAGTTCTCACATGAGCTCTGAGGGTTTTCTCTCAGAGCCCTCATCAGTTTTGCAATTGTATAAGTATGTATGAGTCCTCTTGCTGTAGAAGACCATATTACTCACCGTCATAGTCCCAGTGTCTGGAAGAATCAGATACACAGTATTCAGTAAATACTATAACATAAAATCATAATGTCTAAGAAAGTTTTTAATGGTGTAATAAATGTCCATGTTATAATATGGAATGAAAAAATTCAGGATACAAATATCAAGGAAATATAACCTAAACTAGTAAAAACTACACCGGGAAGAATTCCTGAGATGAATACTGAGATATAAATAATGGTCATCTCTAGGTGGTGGGATAATGGGAGGTATTTACTTCTTTGTACTTTTCTGTATTTACCACAAGGCGGCAAACATTTTTATAGCCAGAAGAAAAAAAATCCTGCTTTTAAAAAACAAACACTGAAGATTTGAGGATGGTTGTGTTGGAAGTAGGTGTGTTTCCAAGATCATTCTGGGCTTCCCACTAATGTGTCCTCCCCTACTGATGTCCTCTCCCCCACAGCCTTGGTCAACCAGTGCAGGGATTCACTCACCTCCGAGGGTCTCCTTCTCCCAGCCTCTCAATCAGGATGTAACTGCTCTTCTCCCCTTCTTTGGTCAAACGTGGTGGGAGTACAGTGAAAGAGACAGGGCCTGAGGTTTTTGGACAGTTCATGTTAAACATAAGCTAAGGGAATTCAAGACCCTCTGCTCAGACTCCAGCTTTGGCTTCTTTTCCAAGGCAAGGCCAAGACTGATAAATCAAGGACCCTTGCTTGCAAGTGCCCCATTCCCATGGCAGCCAGTACCATGACCACCAAATAGCACCAGCAGAAAAGCCCTTGGTCTTATGAGATGGGTCTTGGGCAGGCATCAAGAGATCTGGATATGGCTCCCAGTGGCCTCTGTACCCCTGAATAAGTATCAGAAGGGAAATTCTATAAAGTCAGGGACAGGCTTGTCTCATTTCCTACTATGTCCCCAGTGCTTAGCATAGGGCCTGGCCCAGAGAGGGCATTCAGGAGACATGTGCTGAGCCAATGGAGGGAGGAAGAGAGGGCTTTGCCATACAGGTAGGAGTCCTACCTGAGATGGAAAGTCCACTTGGAATGGAAGATGTGCAAACTGAACAAGTGCACTAACCTCTATTTATCTCACCTTCTTAATCTGCAGTTATAAAGACCAACCACATAGGATGATAAAGATACTGTTAGATGCATAAGCAAGACACTTAATAGTGGTTTAATAGTGGTTATATCTGGGGAATTGGGATGGGGTAGTGGGGAGATGTTTGAAAGTTTCCCCCCATTATATATCTACATTATAAAAGGCCAGGGGCTGTCACAACCTAAACGACCAGACGGATGACTGGTCACCAGGAAGTGCATGGAGCACCTCTTGGTCCCTCCCCCTCAGTCCACAGGCTATCACAGTAAGGCTGGCGGCCAGCAGGTGGGCACGGCGAGGTTGTTAGGCCCTTGGCCCAGGGCCAGGCCGGAGGCCTAACGACCTTGCCTCTGCCGTGGCAGCTGCAGATCAGGCCCAGAAAGAGAGGCAGGGCCTGATCCGCAGCTGCCACGGAGGCTGTGGATCAGGCCCAGAGAGAGGCCCAGAGATAGGCTCAGAGACGCTGACTGGCATAGAAACCGACCAATCAAAACCTAATCTGGGTGAACTGCGAAGGCAGAACCTAAGGTGGGGACTAAGGAGGGGTTTTAAGGGCAACAGCTGTTTGGTGTAAGGTGTAAGAAAGTGGTTCAATTTTTTTTTTAAATATATTTTATTGATTTTTTACAGAGAGGAAGGGAGATAGTTAGAAACATCGATGAGAGAGAAACATCGATCAGCTGCCTCCTGCACATCTCCCACTGGGGATGTGCCCGCAACCCAGGCACATGCCCTTGACCGGAATCGAACCTGGGACCCTTCAGTCCGCAGGCCGACGCTCTATCCACTGAGCCAAACCGGTTTCGGCTGGTTCAATTTTTTAATGACCGGTGCATATGGCTGGCTATCAGTCCAGATATGGGGATTATGTATTTTTGTCTGCCAAGAGAATCTCCTCCTGCTGAAAAAGACATTCCCCTCCATTTAAGCAATCCTATCCTATATAATCTATCTATACTAATAATTTATACTAATAAAAGGGTAATATGCTAATTAGACTGGGTCAACCGGCTATCTTCCGGACGTTGGGAGTGAGATCAGGCCGGCAGGGGAGAGCAGTTGGGGGTGAGATCAGGCCGGCAGGGGAGGGCAGTTGGGGGTGAGATCAGGCCGGCAGGGGAGGGCAGTTGGGGGTGAGATCAGGCCGGCAGGGGAGGGCAGTTGGGGGTGAGATCAGGCCGGCAGGGGAGGGCAGTTGGGGGTGAGATCAGGCCGGCAGGGGAGGGCAGTTGGGGGTGAGATCAGGCCGGCAGGGGAGGGCAGTTGGGGGTGAGATCAGGCCGGCAGGGGAGGGGAGTTGGGGGCAATATCAGGCCAGCAGGGGAGGGCAGTTGGGGGCGACCAGACCTGCAGGGGAGGGCATTTAGGGCGACCAGGCCAGCAGGGGATGGCCATTGGGGCGACCAGGCTGGTAGCGGAGGGCCGTTGGGGGCAAACTGGGTGGCAGGGGAGGGCAGTTGGGGGCGACCAGACCTGCAGGGGAGGGCCATTGGGGGCGACCAGGCCGGCAGGGGAGGGGAGTTGGGGACCATCAGGCCGGCAGAGGAGCAGTTAGGGGTGATCAGGCAGGCAGAGGTGGTTAGGGTCAATAAGGCAGAGGCAGGGGTGATCTGGCAGGCAGGCAGAGAGGTTAGTGGCGATCAGGCAGGCAGGCAGGCAGAGGGGTTAGGGGCAATCAGAAAGGAAGGCAGAGTGGTTTGGGGCGATCAGGCAGGCAGGCAGGTGAGCGGTTAGGAGCCAGCGGTCCCAGATTGCGAGAGGGATGTCCCCGATTGGAGAGGGTGCAGGCTGGGCTGAGGAAACCCTGCCCCACCCCTGTGCACGAATTTTGTGCACTGGGCCTCTAGTATTATACATAATAAAAAACTGTTTATTAAGAACTAAAGAGATGTGGTCTGTAAAGCCACTAGTCTGGCACCTAGCAAGGGGTTAATAAATGGAACTGCTATACTTATTATTATGATTAATAACCATATTCAGCCTAGCATGAGGTGGGCAACCCAGCTGGTGTGGTTCAGTGGTTGAGCATCAATTACCAGTCAGAGCACATGTCCAGGTTGTGGACTGGATTCCCAGGAGGCAACTGATCAATGATTCTCTCATCATTGATATTTCTATCTCTATCCTTCTCCCTTCTTCTCTGAAATCAATAAAAATACATTAAAAAAAAAAAAAAAAAAGGTGGGCAGTCAGTGGCAAGGTTGGTTTAGCACTAATTATGTTGTGACCCAAACACCATCCATTTAATTTACCCTATATGAGAGGACCTAACCAAGCACAGGGGCCCAAACAGCAACCTCCCCAGTCCTGAAATCCTTCTACCACTCTGCAGGCAGAGCCACTCAGCCAGCTCTAATTTCTCCAGAGACCAGAACTGAAATGTGGCTATGCTGTCTCTAGGCCAAGGCTCCTTACCTGAACTGGTTCCCCATCATGCCACACCAGGCCCTCTCCATCGCTTTCCCAGAGAAGGTGAACTTCCTGACCCACCCATGCCTCCAGGATGGTCAGCTCCACCCGGAACCAGCAGGTCCACCATCTGCAAGAGTCACTTAGATGGGAGCCCTTTTCCTTTTGAAATAGTACTTTCTTGGATTAAGGGTCAGTAGGGGCTTGAGGCTTTCTCTATGCATTACAAGGTAATCAGATTTGATGGACAAGAAGGGAGTAAGGTGAGGGAAAGAGGCAGAGCCAGAGGTCTGTGATCCGTCCTTGAGTGCCTTTCCTAAGGGGTGTCCAGGGACTGGGAGAAAGGGGAAAATGAACTCTTTCATTAAATCTGAGGGACCAGGGGCAGACAATGGAGGTGTGGCCCTTAGGAGTGAGCCAGCCCAGAGGGGTGACCACTGGCAGGGCCCTGCCTCTGGGCATTACACACGTGGGTCCAAAGCTGTCACCGACCTGCACAGGGCAGAAGTCCTGCTGGATTGCCTCCTGGTAGGGAAGCCTCTCAGGTGTCAGGAAACTGGAGAGCGCGGCCATTGGGCAGCTGTCCCCGAAGAGCCTGGGCATGGAGGGGCCAGTGGGCATGCGCTCAAAGTCAGCTTTCCACCTGGCGGTGGAACGCAGAGTCCTCTGATCCACGTTGGAGATGGCTGTTCCACAGCACAGCCTCCCCGCTCCCTCCTCCCGGCCATGCCCTGTCCATAGAGGGCAGGCACTTTATCCCTCAGTCCAGGTGGCTGTAGCTTGGGTTTAACCACAGAAAGAAAGGCTGAGGCCGGTGAACCAGGCCAGCTGGTGCCCTGAGGGGTCACAGAGGTTATAGTCGTGGGTAGAGTGGTGACACGAATTTCTCTGCCTGCTCCAGCGTAGTGCGCCAGTGCTTCAGGGTTGGCACCGCCACCACCACTGCCGCCCGCCCACTCTTCTTGGAAAATCCCAGTGCTCCTGTGTGGCGGAACTAAAGGTTCTGGTGTGTGGACGGCTGCAGGCTGCTTTCTTACAACAGCCAGGCTCTCTGGGAAGCCCAGCTGCTCTGAACTTTGAGAGGGGCACTGAAAGAAGTGCTTCTTGAGGCTCTCCTCTATCACTTCTGGACTGATGGGCCAGGCCACTTGGCAAATACCTAAATAAAATGGTAAGTCTGACGCTTAGCTTCTCGGAAAGCTCTGGGACAGAGATAGGGGGACCATTAGATGCAACAGACCACTCGGCATCAGCACCAACAGGTGGGAACCCTCTGGCCCTCCAGTGCCAGCCTGGCCTCTGGCTCCCTAGAGCCGCCATGAATGGACATGGTGTTGAGGGCTTTGCATCCCTGTAACCTCAGCTTCCTCTACTACCTTATTTTATGTACATGGCTGTTGGTCATCACCAGAAACTCTGGAAAAGTTTTGATTTGAGACAGCATGTTAGTCATAGCATTCAAGATCCTAATAGAATACTGTATTTCACTAAACAGGACTGAAGAGTTAAGAGAAGCCATAATGCCAGACACCTAATTTCATTTTCACATTACCCTAGTAGTACATTGATAGCTTTTTTTCCCCCCTCTCCTAAGATGGCCAGGGAGTTCTTGTCTATAATATTAAGAAAAATATATACACAGCATTAGCCCTGATATTTTAATGGAAATACTGACCAAGTTTACAACATTTCAAATGCAAACTACACAGAAGTGTATGACTGAGTACATAATACCAAGCATAATCCTATATAATAAAAGGCCAGAGACCAGAACTGGTTCCCCATTATGCCACACCAGTGGATGGCGAGCACTGCTCAGCCGGGCTCACGGCTAGCGAGTGCAGTGGCGGTGGCGGTAGCCTCTCCCGCCTCCAAGGCAGCGCTAAGGAGCAGCAGGCTGGCTTCTGGCTGGCGAGCGCAGAGGTGGTGGTGGGAGCCTCTCCCACCTATGCTGCAGGCAGGCAATAAGGATCGAGGGGACCCAGACTGCGAGAGCCCCAGACTGTAAGAGCGATGTCTGACTGCCAGCTTAGGCCTGATCCCCGGAGGTGGGGAGGGCGGGGATGGGGGAAGATCAGGCCTAAGCCAGTAGGCGGACATCCCCCAAGGGCTCCTGGACTGTGAGAGGGCGCAGGCCGGGCTGAGGCACCCCACCCCCATGCACCAATCTTGTGCACCGGGCCTCAAGTTTAAAATAAAGATAACTTGCCAGCTATAATACAGGCTGGGTTTAGAGCTTGTAGCTCAGGTGTCAGAAGACAGGAGAGACAAAAATGCTGTTTGTGAAAACCATGTAGTGAAACTCCCCCTTCTTTTTCGTTACACTGGTAGGTTGAAGGTTTTCTCCTGAACTGGCTCTGAAACCCTATTCCCAACCTGCAAGCAGGTGCTCTGGACATAACCCTGTGCAGGGACAGCAAGAGCTGGGCCCCATCTATTTCCCCCATAATTCCAAGTCAACATGATCTTTCTTGAGTGAGCAGAGGGGGATTAGGTGAGCTAATTTCTGGGAAAACCTGAAGATTTCCCATCCCCAACCAGTACTTATCATTCCATCTCCAAGTCAGACACTGCCTCAGCTTCATCCTAGAATCTCCTCCTGCAAGGCTCTTTTACTACCATACATTTCTGGGTTCCACCTCTTGTGTCTCCCCCCCCCTCACCACTCCCCACACACAAACAAACAAACAAAAAAATCAGAGAAGTCTACCATATATTTTGAAAGTCCAGAAGCCAAAAGTTTTTGGGGTTTGGAAGTGTGTGTTGGGGGTGGGAGTGTGTGGATTTTTAATAAAAAAGCAAACAAAACACTGTTGGTTACTTTGCAACTATGATTAGGGTAAATGGTTGCTGGAGGAAAATCCACCAGAAGTCCAGGCTGACTACATAAAAATCCTTATCACCCAGAATTAAATGTCTGCCAGTTTAAATTTATGTAATATATTCCATTTGCAGTTAGTAATGAAATGTACCAAATCTCCCTCCCAACCCCACTTATACCACACTCCTTATACACACTTCTTTCAAATACTGATTTGGTATTTAAGTTGTTCACTCCCGTTTCTACTAAGGATAAGAAAAAATATAGAGAATTACAAATTATATAGCTAGACAACTTACTCAAATATCACACATGTCTAAACAGTTGAAATAAGGGAGGGGAAAAAACATGTACTAAAAGAATAAAGTATTCTGCTTCAAAATTTTGGAATATTTTGACTTGAGATAAGTGAACTTGACTGCTAACTAGAGCAAAAGCCTGTTGGTACCCTGGATAAGGAACTGAGCCTAAATCCCTGATTCATAATTGTTCTCTGGTGAGGACAAGGGACTTGGGTTGCAAGTTTATTCCTTGAGAACCAAACTTTATTTTTTTTTTAAAAAAAGTTTTGGGGCAAGGGGAAGACAAGTTTTACACAAAAGTACTACAACCGTAACTCCCTTTGGTAAAAAGTGTAATAAATGTCTTGCACACCTGTTCATAGGTACTAAATCTGAAGTCACATAGAACTATGGTACACAAGAAGCTAGAGCAGTTATGCTAGCACATCAAAGCATATTTCTTTTAATAAAAAATTGACAGTATGTACATTATTTACAAAAAAGAAAAAAGAAAACCCCCGTTAAAATTGGTGTGTTTGAGAGAAAGAGTAAAGCTGGTGGATGGCACTGGGGAAGACTGGTAAAGAAGCAGGTACAAAACAGTTCCTCAGGAGCTAAAAATAACTGATTTGAACTTGTTGAGGTTGATAACCAGAGGAGAAAGTAAAAGGGAGGCAACAAGGGATTCGGCAGGAATCAAATCCACAAGATGATCAATCCCAAAGCCAAATTGTGGGTCCCACATAAAACCTAATGGATGCTCTAAATGTGCTTGAGTGATCAGGAAAAAAAAAATCAAAAAAAAAAAAAATCAAATCCAGTTTTGTCCCCCTTTTGGGGGGTGGCGGGGAGAGAAGAGGAGCATTGACCATCAGAGTTACAAACCATCTGAGTATTGAGTCCTTCCCCAGTTAGTTTGTCAACGTTCACCCATCCAGCCAAGGTTTGAATAGCACCTGGTTCCTTCTTCGAAGGTCAGGCCCCAGGAGACTCCAGTCTTAGCTCTGCTGGTGTGTGCAAGCAAGCTGTGTGTTTATGCTTGAGTGGATTTCCTTCCCCTCCAGGATCCTAAACCCTTGGGGAAAGTTCCAGAGCACAGACAGATCAGGTGGCCATATCCCAGAGAGGCCCAGTGAGGCTTGAAAGGCATCTTCCTCATTTCTTCAGTGTGTGTGAGGGCACATGAACCGCACCCCCCTCACACACACACCTCCTTCAAGTTATCTGCTCTGACTTCGCAGCTATGGGGTTTTGAACACTGTGCCGTATTTGACACGGTACTTGTTAATGTTCACAAAATGCAGAGTCTCTGTGTCACAGGTGGTGGTACAGGGTACCAGGCCCTCCAGCCCCTCACCCATGAGCCACTTGCTGGTCTCCGCTGCCATTTCACGGGGCACATGCTCCTTGGTCCACTTATCTACCCAGGCCTGGAACCTCTGATGCAGCCTCTTGCTTACACGTTCATGGGACTGCAAAACAGAACAAGTAAAAAAAACAAAACAAAACAAACAAAAACACCCATGAACTAGGACCAAAAAACAAAACAAAACAACCCTTCAAATACAAAGCCCAATTTCCTCCTAAAGTAGCAAAGAAAAGATGTGGCCTCAAGTTTCTGATACCACTGGTTAGTGGGGGAAAAACGCACACAAAAGCAGGAATCTATGTTTTCAGAAGAGAACTGAAAGAGGTTAAGAACATAGAGCATGTAAGGAGTTGGAACCCATTGAGCCACCAAAGAAATGCCAACATAGGTTCTGGGCAAAACAAGCTCAGTGTTTCTCAATTTTAGCATTCATTAGAATCACCAGGGGAATTTGATAAAAATAGATTTCCTTGTTTCTACCAATCTACATTTTAACATCAGCAACCCACCTGATTCTAATTTTTATTTTTTTTAATAATCCTCACCTGAGAATATTTTTCCATTGATTTTTTAGAGAGTGGAAGGGAGGGTGAGAGACAGAGAGATAGAAACATCAATGTGAGAGAGACCACATAAATTGGTTGCCTCCTGCACGGGCCCGACCATGGCCAGGGATGGAGCCTGCAACCGAGGTACATGCCTGTATGTGCCCCTTGACCAGAACTGAACCAATGACCCTTCAGTCCTCAGTCCGACACTTTAACCACTGAGCCAGGGACCAGCTGATTCTAATATACCCCCAAGTTAGACAGCTGTTGGTTATTTCTATCAGCACCATGGCAAACCACTTCTAAAAAACATGAGGCTTGCCCTAACCGGTTTGGCTCAGTGGATAGAGCATTGGCCTGCGGACTCAAGGGTCCCAGGTTCGATTCCGGTCAAGGGCATGTACCTTGGTTGCGGGCACATACCCAGTGGGGAGTGTGCAGGAGGCAGCTGATCGATGTTTCTCTCTCATTGATGTTTCTAACTATCCCTTTCCCTTTCTCTCTGTAAAAAAATCAATAAAATATATTAAAACACACACACACACACACACACACACACAAAAATGAGGCTTAAAGGGCTTAAAACCCATTCTCCCCCACGGTATTACCCCCACCCCGTCCAGCAGAGTACTAAGCATAGTGGATCTCCAGTGGAGGTTCAGGTTCCTATCTATGCATCCTGTAAATATTTATCGGTGCTCACGTAAAAGACAGAATAGGAGAAAAGGATAAATTAGGCCCAGCTCTCCAAATAATTTGAATCAGAGACACAGATATACAACACACAGTACCATGAGATAAGTATATTAAACTGTTCACCCAGATCTCCTACTTGAATGTTTTATTGTCCTATCAAACTTAAGCAGTTCAAAACAAAATGCTTGAGCTGCCCCTCAAAAATGGTAATCTCTTCTTAATAACAAATATATCCCTAAACTTCCCACTTACTCAAGCAAAACAAACAAAACCAAATAACAAAAACCACTAGGCATCATCCTTGATGTTCTCCTTTCTCTTACCTCAAATGAAAATCTAATCATTACTGTCTGACAACTATATCTCCAAATTGTATCTCCAGTCTGTTTAATTCTTATAATTCCACTGACACCTTTCTGCTAGCCCCGGTCACCATCGCATCTCATTTGGACAACAGCAGTCCTTTTGTGTGGTCTCTGCTCTTCCAACTTTGTGCCCACATTCAACATCCCAATGCACCTCAAACAAAATCCAAACCATGGCCTATAAGACTGAGCAATGTGGCCTCTATTACCCTTCCAACTTCACACATCCCACTTTCCTTATGGCTCAAGCCACACTGATGGTTTTAGTTTTTCACATATTCCTCCCTCTCAGCCTTGGACTTGCTTCCTTTGCCTAGAAATTATCAAACCCCAACTCTTCACCGAGCTGGATCCTTGTCACTGTTCAGGTCTTAAGCTTCACCTCCTTAGAGAGATCTCTCCCACAAAAGCTGGGCACATCACTTATCCTTGGTCACTTCACCTAGTTTCTTTCCTTGATAGTGAATATCACACTGCCTTCCTTATATACTCTACTTCATGGCTGTAGTCCCATGGCATGGTTCAATACCTGGTACATAAGTGTACCAGGAGCTTTCACCACTGAAGTAGCACATGTAAACGGGTAGCCTTCATATAAGCACTACCACTTGAAAGTAAATGCTGGGAATAGCTTCAATGGAAATGCCACCAGCTGTTATGGGTTGATTTGTGCCCTACCTCCAAATTCATGTTCCAGTCCTAACCCTCAGTACCTCAGAATGTGACCTAATTTGGAAATAAGGTTGTTGCAGTTATAATTAGTTAATATGAGGTCATACTGTTAGCAGGGTGACCCATAATGCAATATGACTGTGGAGGAAAATTTGGACACACACATGCACACAGGGAGAATGCCATGTGAAGATGAAGGCAGATATCTACAAACCAAGAAATATCAAAGGGTGCCAGCTAAAACATGCTCCCTCACAGCCCTCAGAAGGTTCGAACCTACTCTGCCAACACTTTTAACTTGAACTTCGAGCTTTCAGAACTCTGAGACAATAAATTTCTGTTGTTTAAGTCACACAGTTTGTGTGGTTCTTTGTTACAGCATCCTCAACAACCTAATACACCAGTTTACTCAATTCTTAAATCCAAGTGGAGGTGTTCATAAAGGAAGAGAAAAAACCAGCAGCCTCTGGGTTAGGCTGGTCCTGGCTGGGGAGAGGTTCTCACCTGATGAGCCCGGAGCAAGGCAGTCCTCCGATACATGTAGTCCTCGGACTTGATCACATACACCATCTTGTAGGAGTTCAGCTTGAACCTACACTCCAGTTTATCCAGGCTATCCACATTCTCCATGCTCTTCTTGCTGTTTCCTTCCTTCCCTTCCTTTTCTTGCTGTTCTCGACCACGCTGACACTTCCGGATCCGCCGCAGGTTCCTACAAAGCAGAAAGCCATGAATGATGAGAGCTGGTCCAGACAGATTTCCATGACTCCCCCTAGAGTTTTCCTTATTATGTGCCTTCACAGAACTCATCACAATTTTAGTTACATACATATAAAAAATGTCCAATGATTTCATTGTAAAAAAAACATTTTCAGCTGCAGGGATAAACAGAAAAGCAGAAATCTTCAACCACCTCCTACCCCTAATTCTTCAAAAATCCCGCTTGCCTTGGCAGAGATAACCTCTGTCAGCAGTTTTGCTTTGAAATCTTCTAGGTCTCCCTGAAATAACATATGTAATCACTTGCTATGATTCTGCTTTTGGAATGTGTTCAAGACAAAATAGGATCACACTATAAATACTATTCTATTGTTCTCAACTTTTCACTGACTCTCATGAAGATTTTATTTCACTACATATAGAATTGTCTCATTCTCTTCAATGGCTACAGAGGAAATGTGCCTCAATTTACCATTCCTTAACAGAAATCAATCAGGGGTTCCTTTCTGAACCACAGAGCACAGAAAATTATTTAAATGCCTATTTTCTCAATTATTCCAAAGATGGCACATAACTAATACTCTTATACATACCCAGGAAAAGAGATTAACATCAATGGGTGCCTTAATAGGTAGATAGAGTTTAATTCTCTCCAACAATAGGCAAAAAAAGATTGTTAACTAGGCAATTACATTATTTCCAATACTTTATTAAAAGTACTGTTTCAGTGAGTATCTCTGTATACATGTATCTCTGTAGGACAGCAAGTTTTTGATCCAAGAACCCAAACTCTTTTCAATAGGTCTGTAAGATCAAAGCTATTTTCATAATAATACCAAAACATTATGTGCGCCCCCGCCCCCCCCCCTCCCTTTACTGCATTAATATTTGGCCTCGCAGTGGCAGCAAACTATTCTTGGAAATCTTTGCATTCTTCTCTGGCCATGCACTGGCAATTAAAAAGAAAGATGGCTTCACTTAAGAATGCCCTAATGAAAAGTAACTTTTTAAAAATATGTTTTTATTGATTTCAGAGAGGAAGGGAGAGAGAGATAGAAACATTCATGATGAGAGAGAATCATCAATTGGCTGCCTCCTGCAAGCCTCCTAAAAGGGATGGAGCCCCGCAACCCTGCATGTGCCCTGACTCAAAATCTAATCGTGACCTCCTAGTTCCTGGGTTGACGCTCAACCACTTAGTCTCATCAACGGGGGGCAGAATTAACATTTTAAAATTAAATCCCAGCCCCTCAATTCACATCATTTTAATATACTGTAGGTAAAATGGGAACTACACAAGAAACACCTTCGTGTTCTGAATTACAATGAAATCTTTGAAGAAAGGCATTTGAGCTCTGCTGAGTTGCAAATGGATCACCAATTTTACCTGAAAGGACTGACTAGTCAGTATAAGATATATAGCACATTTTTTTCTCAAAAATGAACAAGGGAGCCTGGCATTTCAAGGAAAACTACTACATATATTTGTTGTCAATAAGATTTAAGTTTTCAAGTAAAACTTTGAATTCTGGTAAACTGGGGCTTGCCACCACGAACTGAAAGCTTCCCATTATTTAAACACTAGAGGCCTGATGCACAAAATTCGTGCAAGAGTAGGCCTGCCTTCCCTGGGATGCTGGCACCGGCTTCCCTCTGGCACCCGGGACCCGGGCTTCCCTCTAGCCACCAGCAGGCACCCGGGACCAGGGCTTCCCTCGCAGCCCCGGCTTCATCCGGAAGGTCGTCTAGTCTAATTAGCATATTATGCTTTTATTATTATAGATGTATTTGATGAGGTCAATGGCAATATTAATAAATGTGGTTTTGGGGAGAAACCAAGATGGCGGCATAGGTAAACACCGGAAATAGCTGCCTCACACAACCACTTCAAGACAAAACGGACTAAAAGACAAACAAAAAGACAAAACGGACATCATCCAGAACCACAGGAAGGCTGGCTGAATGGAAATTCTACAACTAGAAGGAAAGCGAAAAGCACACTGAGACTCAGAGGAGGTGCAGAAGTAAGTGCAGACGGAGGCGCACGCGGAAAGGGCTGGCAACTGAGGACACGGCTATCTTTTTCAATCGGGAGGGAGTCTCAAGCTCCCGACTGCTCTGAACTCCAGTTCCGGACGAGTCTCTGGGGACACAGACTCATTGGACTGTCTGGCATTGGGCGGAACTCGAGGGCGCTTTTCTCTCAGAGGTGCTTGCAGTGATTACTGCGGGACACTGAGACCTGGGGCCTCTTAGGGCAGGGCTGAGGAGCAGCCATAGCTGTTTGCTCTGCCCTGTTGATTCCCTGAGACCCCGAGCTGTGTGCAGAGGCTTTTGCAAATGAATGGCCTGGCCCTTTGCAATCTAAAATTACCTAACAAACTGCAGCTGGGTCAGAGAGACCCAGAACATCCAAAAGAAGGCCCAAGGCCCCACAGCAGCTTGCATTGCTTCACAGCTGGGCCTCATCTGGGCACCTCCAAACCCCAAACAAAGAAGAGGAATCTGCAGATCTCTCCATAGCTCCTGCTGGGTAGCCTCAGGCAGAGGCTAAATTAGCACCTCCTTAGAGATCCAAGAGCCAGTGTACCCAGTGGTCAGAGTGGGACCATCCAGATTACAACTCCTCAGATCCATAAGGGACACACTCAGGGGGCCAGCACAGAAGTTCTCCCACCGTAGACACAGCTGATTCTCACAGCCAATTGGCCTGGAGGTCAATTCCTCCCAGTGATACCTACAACAATCAAGGCTTAACTACAACAAGACTGTGCACAAAGCCCACAAAAGGGTGCACCAAGAGTGTCCACCTTTGGTAATTGGGGAGGCTGAGTCACTGGGCCCTATAGGACGCCTAGCACAGAAAGCTACTCTATCAACACAGGAAAGCAGCCAAAATGCAGAGACAAAGAAACAGGTCACAAATGACAGAAATGGAGGAAAGCAAACTACTGGATATAGAGTTCAAAACCACACTTATAAGGTTTTTCAAGAATTTTCTAGAAACCGCCGATAAATGTAGTGAGATCCTCAAGAAATCTA